TAACCATCAATCTTCCAAGAATTTTGGTACCCAAGCGCCGGGCAAAGTGTCTTTATATGGACTTTCAATTTTGCCAAACATGTTTTATCTATGTTGGATCAATATTGGATAAATATTCTATATAAATAAAAGAAAAAGTACATCCCTTATATATATTACCAATATTGGATAAATATTGCATATTAGTATAAATAAAAGTTATTGCCAAATATCTTCTACTAATATTGGATCAATATCGGATAAACATTGTATTAAAATATAGGAAGAAGGTACATCTCCTATATATTACCAATATTAGCTAACGGTTAGTTTACGTTAGGTTGCAATTTCTAGGCGACCTAAAAGTTAACCATCAATCTTCCAAGAATTTTGGTACCCAAGCGCCGGGCAAAGTGTCTTTATATGGACTCAATTTTGTCAAAGATGTTTTGTCAATGTTGGGTCAGTATTGGATAAATATTCTATATAAATAAAGGAAAAGGTACATCCCTTGTATATATTGCCAATATTGGATAAATATTACAAATCAATATAAATAAAAGTTATTGTCAAATATCTTTTATTAATATTGGATAAATATCGGATAAACATTGTATTAAAATATAGGAAAAAGGTATATGTCCTATATATTACCAATATAGGCTATAAATTGCCAATATTGGGCCCATATACAATATTGTACCAATATAGAATAAATATTGGGCCAATGTCGTGTGCTACTGGGGTAAGGTTATCTGCAGTGGGTAAAGTTAGTTAAAAAAAATTATAACTCACTAATGCATCGAATTTCACCCCAAAAAAATTCAAAGTGCGATTACCTACCGATTAATTCAATCCATTTTTGTTGGAATCCATTCGGTCAATTGAATTGAAATTTAATTAATAAAGTGTGTACGTAAGTTGTCTAGTATTTGCAAGTTCACCAATTAGAATGGAGTTGAAACAGGTGCCTAAACATACACATACATGTATGTGTAATATACCAGCATACGTGCAAATTTTAACAGCTGAATCGCGTGTACGTATGTTTGTATGAGTTGAGCGTTCTTGTTAACGGAAAATATGAGAATACCATGGCCCTGCATTTGAGGTCAGCTGTTTCCGAAAGTCCGCAAACCGTATCGCGAACCACAGCACAAACTTTTTAAACCGGATTTCTATCATTTCGTCGGAGATATAATAATACAAAACGTTCACATATCTAAGTATAGAATCGAATAGAATATTTCGAAATATTGTGGGTCGCGAATTATGCTAATGGTATTGTTAATACCGTTTTAAATTGAGTGAAATATAAATAAATTTGCTTATAATATTAGTTTGTTTATACGGTCGATTTCAGGATTTAAAGAAAAAACGATAACTGGGTCGACTTCAGTAACTTTTCTGTTTCGATTTGCAATTGCTTATAAGTGAATTAATTATTAGTTGACATACAAAAAGCTGATTATATGAACTCATAAACCAATACCGTAAAATTTACTGTTATCCTATCGACGTTGCTGATATTATTGATGATGGAAGCAGATGTTATCGCAATTTTTATCTCAATGCAATTGACCTAAATTGGCTACTTGACGATATTAAAACTTTTTTGAATATTTATAAAATTAAGAAGATTTATAGATAACTACCTACTTGCTTGCTAAAATATATAGGGTTGTTCGGAAAGTCATTTCGTTTTCTTTTGTGGAAATGAAAGGCAGTTTTCGTATAATAAACAAATACTTTATTAAATTATATATTGACCGTTCTGGTCCAACACCTTTTGCCATCTTTCTGGTAGTAGCATAATTCCACGCTCATAAAATTTTTGGTCTTTGCTGGCAAAAAACTGATCGAGGAGGTTTTTGACCTCCTCATTTGAGGTGAAGGTTTTACCGTCTAAAAAATTTTGGAGTGACCGGAACAAATAATAATCCGATGGTGCCAGGTCTGGAGAATATGGTGGGTGTAGCATTGTATCCCATTCAAGCTGTAAAAGCTTTTGGCGAGTGACCAAACTTGTGTGAGGTCTCGCGTTGTCTTGGTGAAACACTACACCTTTCCTGTTGATTAGTTCTGACCTTTTCTGTTGAAGTGCATCATTCAGTTTGTCCAGCTGATGACAGTAGACTTCCGAATTAATCGTTGTGTTATCCGGTAAAAGCTCAAAAAAAACGATTCCTTTAAAATCCCACCAAACAGACAGCATCACCTTTTTTTGGTGAATATCGGCTTTGGAAAT